TTTGTCAATCTGAGGCACTTGTGGCGTCGTCGCGACGTCTCATTCTCGCTAAAGGGCTGCGTTTACAGCGCATCAGTTCACTCAGTGTTGTTGTCTGGGAGCTAGTCCTGATCGATTGGCGTAGAAGACATGCATCGTCTTTCTGCCTTCGATAACGTTTGCTTCAGGTGGATTGCTCGTGTTTCGTGGCAACATCGAGTTAATAGTAATGACGTTCGACGTCGCATCTTGGGGAATGCGAGTATTCCCTTCAACAAACTGGTTTTGTTGCGCCAGTTGTGATGGCTCGGTCACGTCTTACGCATGGCACCTGAGCGTCTGCCTCGTCGCGCTCTGTTCGCTAGTCAAGGACCTGGCTGGAGACGACCGCGTGGTGGTCAGCCTTCCATTTGGCGGCAGCACATGAAATCGCTGACGTCGTGTCTAGCCGCTGTTGGACCCGTACGTCTTCCAGGATGGGGACCCAAAGATGGCGAGTGCCAATGGCTTAGGACTCTTGAATACATGGTCCTCAACCGTAATCGGTGGAAGAATTGTGTACAGCATTGTATTGATTCACATGTTTAATACTTCAAACATTGAAAATGATAGAAAAGAGCAAAATCAGCATGTGAAAAAGAAGCTAAAAGCGTTTGTCCTACTTTTTATTAAAATGTTCCTTTCTTCCTGCGGCATATTAGCTGAAGTGTGTTGCTCACCTTCAACTACTATGCTACGTTGATTATGACGCAATGACTGTCACTTATCCGCTGATCTCCATGGTTTTCTATTGGCTCTGTCTAGTTTCTAGACTGCTGAGATTACATACATACATACAAACAGCTGGCTATCGTTCAAGGCTAAGACGGCATCGCCGAGACATCTTCATTGCGACCTTCACTGCTCCGCATCATAATCAGCCATCACCCCGCAGATAACTCATCACCAAGCACACTTTAAACAGGCAATCCGATTAGGAGACGGCACCGGACGCGCCACTGGTGTCAGTTGCGAGCCATTTATCCTAAAGTCTCGTACCAAGCACAAGGCGGGTCACGTGGACTCCAGCCCGGAAGACGAGACGGACCAACGGCACCCAGTTTGGTCGTCAGTGACTTCATTTCCCGCTGCCAAGTCAACTTCTGTCCACCTCGAGCTTTGCGCCACCCTTCACTTGGCACACTAAACGATACTCTCGTAGGTAAGCGGTGACCAGGCATACGTAACACATGCCCAAGCCAACGCAACTTATTCAGTGCTATCTGTTGTTCTACGGAGCTAGCATGTTTATCACTACGTAGTACTCGCCTACGCACATCATCGTTTCGGACACGCTGGTGCCATCCGACACCAGCAATGCTTCGCAGACAAGGATGATCAAAGACTTGAAGGCGCCTCAGATCTTCAGACCGAAGGGGCCAAGTCTCATTACCATAGGGCCGAACGGCCCTCACTGTGGCCTTGTATACACGGCCTTTCAGACGAAGGGAAATTCCCTTCTGTCGCCAAAGATGCCGTAGGTACAAGAAGGCAGCTATGGCGTTTGCAATGCGTGAGCTGACGTCAGTTTCTATGCGCCCATGGTTGCTGATGCAGCTGCCAAGATAAGTGTATTGGAATTATAGCCCACATTGACCCACATAATTTTTTGCAGGTAGGTGAACACTCCGATTGTTATTTGCAGTATTCATTAACCATAACAACTTGTTACTCCATTTTGCATGATACCATCTCTCGAGACATTTGTGCCATTACTCTATCCCTTCACATATACGTCTTTTGTTTGATCCACTCATATACTATGTCTCCCAAAAGTTTGGTCCCTCTACTCTGTTACTGCCGGACAAAGAGTCACTGCTTCTGGTGTGCAGTAGAGCACACTAAATTCTTGTTAGCATCCTTTTACAAAGAAATGTTGCGGAGCTGTCATTTCGCAGCTGCAGGCCGAAGGAACTGGAACTGTGCATTGTCAGTCATTGTCGCGGTATATCAGTGAACACTGCAGAAAGTGCTAGGCTATAGCGCCCGGCGAATATTGCTCTTCAAGCGAAACGATGGTCATTTTGAACATCGTTGATTTTTATGCTCTTGAAACATTCTTCATGTAAATATATGTATAACGCATAACGATTGATTTCATTACCACATTGTTGCGATCGGTAATGGTGCGAATACTTCGTCGGGGTAGAATGAACGCTACGAGAAAATAGAACAAGATGGGTGCATGAGGAACGCGCGATCACTCAATTGTCCGACAGGGTGCAGGCGTCGCTGTAGATGTTTACTGTAATGTTGGCGGTGGACGAAACTGTAGGCTGCGTTACGGGCTTATTGCAAGCCCGGGTCACGTACTTCCGTGGTCCATATGACGTTAACCTCGTGCTTGCCAAGTAACTCCATTATAATTACCGCCATTCCTCCGTCTGTCATGGTTCTCCAATGGTAAGGGAACTGTCGTTGGCAAATTACGTAGGAGCTACAAGATGATGTTTACACCACCGATTCTCGTTTGGCCACTTCGTTTCAGTCGTTATAGGTTCAGTATGGCACACCTGCCCATTATGTAGAAACGGCGCGGCATTAAAGATGTTCGGTCACCGGTCGATCGGTCGCATAGATCCACAAGATTGGCCTGCCCGGTCACCAGATTTGAACCCCTTACATTTCTTCCTATGGGGTTATTTGAAAAGGGCTCATAAGAAAACGCCTATTTTACTGGAACAACTGAATGGCAGTATTGTCCACGAATGTCGCGCCATCAACACGAAAATTTTTGCAAAAAGTTATAGCCTATTGCCTCGGGCGATTTCCGAAGTGCAAGCAGAACGCCTTCGGACACGTTGAGCATATCCGGAAATTAGATAAAAACATAAAGGAAAAGGCTATGGAACTTGCAACACACGAACTACGAAAGAAAAGAAAAAAGAAAAGTATGTAATGTTGACTGAAAGCTGGTCTGAAAGGAATTGCCTACCCCGTTCGATCGATCAGGCGATCGATCGAGCGGACGAACGCGTTTTCAAGCACCCAGCTAATTGTACTTTTGCCTCAGAGTTGAGAGTACAGTGTTTTTCGGCGGCACTATCTGGCTACGTTGGCAGCTTTTTGTTAACACGTTTTTGTGATCAAGGCTAATGGAATTTCGATTTTTCTTCGGCTGGGCTAAAATTTTTGCGGAGAAATTTTTGGGTGATTAATTCGGAATAGCGAGAACAAGTGAAGATTTAACAGAGCATCTACCTTGTTGACGGACATATCACCGTTTTATGCTGTTTATGTTAATATACGTATTCACCGCTATCTCTTGTTTCTGGACTACATTGGTGCACGGGCAAGTGGTTCCAAAGGTGCGTCGAGCCAGAATACTATCTACGAGCAAAGCTGGTTCGACAGCGCTTAGACTGACCACTTCTATGCAACTTGGTTCACAATGGTAATTCTTATTTTTCATGGTTATGCCTAAGGAATACGAGGAGATTGTGAACGAGATGGTGATGTGCGAATAGGGTGCGCGGTTTCGTACTTGTCTCCTGTTCATTAGCGTACAGACTGGCGTGAAATGAGTGCTTCCGAACAATAACATATCTGTCACACAAAGGGGAAAGAAATATGGTCCAACAATTTTTCAATAAGGATAGGCCTTGAAATCGTGGCTTATAGATCATGTTGTATTTGACAATCGAAGTTTCCAGCATATGTGTCAGAAAAGTTGGCACAGGAGTAACGGGCTTGTGATGCACAGTATGCATGAGAACCCATATGCGTGTGCTGTGGTCCCACGATTTGTCATCTATTTTTTCGAGCTAATTTGCTTCGTGCTTTGTGGAATACATGAATCAGTATCCTCGAGGATTAGCTATTGCCTAATGCAGCTTCTCGGTTCTGTTTTAATGGAATATTGCCTCATCAGTGAATATGTTGGAATAAATGCTCATGGTCCCGCCTGAAGCAAATTGGACAGCGTAACCACACTTGTTCCCTGCGACGGGAGAATAGGCTATGCGGCAGCTAGTAGTCTTTAGGCTGCTCCTCAAAACGTCACATTTCATATTTATAAGGCCTACTTGTAAGGAATGCCTATTTTGCCAAGGTAGGTTGTTGGAAGGTAACTTTCAGTCTACAAGGGTGTTGCCAATAATTCTTTTGTCATTAGCTGAGATAACACTCAACACCTATTGCACACTTCTTGTTCAAGCCATTTACGCCTGTCCAAGCGCCACCACAATTCTACAGCAGTAGCCCGGTACTGAGGCACTGCTGTTTCGATTTTGCACTCCTATCTCCGTTCCAACCAGCCCGACACACCGTATGTATCGATCGGTGAACTCGCCCTTTCGCATGCCGTAGGTTGACTCCAACTCAACCATCCGCGACTGACCCAGCGTTTTCATGATGGACGACACTGGCAAATACACATGTACCCACATGCCTGCATACGGTCGTTCTACACCCATGCGTCCGGGTGAGAGATTTTGAGATGGACCAACATCTACTATCGGACATTTGGCAATTTAGTGCGCTCTACCTCATACCCGAAGGAGTGACCCTTTGTCCTGCATTAACAGAGTAGAAGGACCAGACGTTTGAGACATATGGTAGTATTCGAAGTTGCAGTTCCTTATACCACCCATGGAACATGCTTACCCTCCTTTTTGCTCCTCATAAACCATTATCCCATTGATCGATTCGGCCACTGCGAGTAGTGGTCAACATTGAGATTGTGATTCGCAATCCATCCACACAACATGTACTTCAAACTGACCCTCCAATCAGTCATTCACCGTTGTGACAAGCGTTTTCCGCCGTGACTCGATGGCTGTAGGAAAGAGCTTTCGGCCAACATCCTAGTGACCCAGGGTCCGATTGCCTGCTATCTTTACCTGATGAAATCAAATAAGTTCGAAACCGGTCAGTGTGTTTTTGAGCGAACAACATACAATTTCTGTGTGCTTTATTCCGTGTCATATTAAAACGTATCGTTGCAGTGATTGCTTTTCTGCTTGTGTTTTCTTCTGTGATAGTTTTTAATCCGGCCAATGGTGAACTCTTGCGTTCTGTCCCCGCAATGTCTTCTGCTGAGTCACATCAGGCAATCACAGCCGCTGTAGATAGTCAAAAGAAATGGGCATCTAGATCAACTTCCGAAAGAGCTGAAATTATTCGCCATTGGGCCATGGCAATACGGCGTAACAAGGAACACCTTGCCAATTTGATCACCGCAGAAAATGTAAGGTTTGCAACCACCATGTCTGCTTTAATTTTTATACAACTCTTACTTTCGATGTTGCGACTGTTGGACTCCTGCTACCCAGATTTGCCATACATACATTGCTTTCCTGAGCTTTGCTGTGCTCAACATTCACTCCTCTGATTTTCCACAGGTAGAAAAAAACCAGCACTTTTCCATTTTACCATGCAGATCTTGCACTTCATAGAGTGTAAAACTAACAGGAAAGATCAACGTTTGGTTAGGATCACTGTAATACAGCTTGTTTTGTACTCTCGTTCTACTGCCTGTACTGTGCTCACTTGCGGTGCAGCACAGGTTCATCGGCCAAGCTACCGAATATTTTGTAGTTCACCTAACCGAGTCACTCCTCTGCGCCTCCATTGCTTACCGAAAACTTCCACAGGACTGACTGTCAGTGCAGTGCGATAGCCCGCTTACCCTTACAGTTTAGTGAATTACGCTGGATGACGATTATCGGGACGAAGCAAATACTTTGGCTTCTGTGTACGTGTGGTCGAACATTTCATGACGTTGCTTGGCGATGTCTCGGCATGCAATCGGAGCCTAAGCGCGCTGTGATGGAAATGACAACCCAGACGGATTTGGACAGTTCATCAAAAATTCGGCGAACTCTGTGTTATGGGGATGCCTAGTAGACATAAACTTTTTGTGACAATTCATAGTTGCCTGCTTTCATTTCGCTACCGTTTATTTTTTGACATCTGCTCAAACGTATCATTGATTTGATTGGTCGTATACTTCCTTCGTAATGGGTGTTATCTGAGGGCCCCATTTTTGCTAGTACCGTTTTCTCCGACACACGTGATTGGTTCTTACTTCTATCGCTTTTCTCATTGGTCTGTATCATTACGCGTCTATTATGTTATTGATTGCAACCAACGTGTTTAAGTAGCTTTGCTTCTACCACTATTGTACCATTTATAAGCGAATCAGGTTTCGCATATATACGATGCTGTCCTGACTCGTCTTTCCTCTTCTCATTGCCGTTATGGTGCGTGAGAAATCGGCGGCGATGTAACACTCTGTGAGGGTCAAATGAACGAAACGTAACAACCTCATCTGTTTTTCGATCGAAGCAGCTGTTCAAACATCTCTATCGAATCATACGTGACTGAGTCTCAACTTCTGATCTGCCCCTGCAAATGCATACTAGAGTCTCATAAGACAACTATATTCGGAATAAATGGTAAAACACCACATAGCAGCTTTTTTCAACAATGAAATTTATCATTCACGTATTTTATCCGCATATGTAACTGCAGTGATGCGTTGAACAAGAACGAGAAATGTTGAAACTAATCCCTTCCCAAATGACGGGTGATGGTGCAGTAGTATTTGTATGCGCACACCTGATGCAATCTTATGCATCCTAACAAACAATGGTTCGTCGCACTAAATAGTCGAACTTGTGTCATGTGCTCATTCAGTTTAACAGGAGCCAATTGCAAGTAAAAACTGACAAAGACGTCTCTAGACACGGCGTCAGTCCGTGCGCCTATGTAGGTTAGTGTCCGATGATCCATCAGCTTCGAAAATAGCTTAACTGACACCAGGTCTTCTGTGACCAGTGGTCCGAGTGATCTGGAAGAACTGCTCTCTCTATCTCTGAAGCGCCCTGGGACCATAAGTTTCGCGATCATCACGCAGACTTTCGTTGGATTGTTGGCTAAGGTTGTGGCGCAGTTCTTTGCTACCCAATTGTCTGGAAATAGTCCGTCGACGATCAAGCAATTCCAGTGCACACTGGTCGATTGACCGGAAGAAATTCTTGCTTTCCATATCTCGAAATATGCTTGGAATCGACTGGGATCTCATGATTTCAGAAAGTTTTGAATACAAATCGGTTTTTGTAGGTTTTTATTATGGCAACGTTTCGCTCTTGACGCAAGAGCTTCTTCAGGCCAGGTGAATCGGTACACAATTGGCTTAGCCTTTTATAAGAAGGTATGGTGAAGATTTCAAGGAGAAAATAAGAGCGGTTTTTCAAAAGTTTCAGACGTTCCATTCTGCACTGGTGCCTTTGAACGATCCGCTTTTAAGAGACACGATGACGTTTAGAGAAACAGTTACGAAGACTGTGAACATATGTATATAGGTCAAACAGCAAGAAAGCTACGCATGAGGATAACAGAACGCAAGCGGCACGTTTCACGTCCACTGAGAAATGAACCTGACTACAGGGCCCTACTATGAGATTCAGCGGTGGCCGTACACGCGCTAGACGCAGGACAATGTCGAGATAAGTAAGAGAGGATTACCAGCAACAAGCCAAAGGTTGATTGCTGTGGGACTTGAGATTACTAAGACTAGTAACTGTGAACAGAACGGACGGGGTGGAGTTATCGAACGCGTGGCTGCCTGTCTTAACCCGGTCAGTCAGAAAAGGTGTTGACGGACGAACTCAGGTTGGGGCGTGAATCAGCAGCTGCAGGAACAGGAATGGCTCACATGTGAGCGACTAGCTACGCGTATCAATGAGAAACGCTATATGCTTGTTATCACATTAGAATGGCCACTTGACCTATTGATCTGTAACACTGTTATACAGTGATTCGTGTTATTTATTGCAATATTCACCATACTTTCTCATAAAAGCTAAGCCAATTGTGTACCAATTTACCTGGCCTGAAGAAGCTCTTACATCAAGAGCGAAACGTTTCCATAGTAAAAAAACGATTTCTATTCAAAACCTAAAATCATTGCGTTCTGTATGAAACTGTAATGATAATCGCTATTTTGGGTGGAACTCTAGTGAGTGCACTTGATGAGGAAGATTTTTAACAGTTGAATTGAGGGATCTTTTAGCCTGTCGGTAGCTTTTCGGTTACTAGAAATCCGCGAAATGCTGTAAAAATTTCTCACAAACCAGAGCGTTATTTCAGTCCAGGTAAGTGGACCAAATCGGTCTGCAATCCCATATTCTACCCGTCTTCTGGAGCTGGTGTATGATAGATGTGTGAGTAGTGTAGTATTTAGGAGCGGATCGCGACGTAGCTGTCTTTGTACAACTTGTGGTTATGTTAGAGATCATCATGTTATCATCCATCCACCTAACCCGAAGTTGAGAGTTGGCTTAAGATACCCCAAAGCTTTGATTCAACAGCCTACTCGCAAGGTAGTGCGGCTAAATTCGGGTAATCGCGTCCATTGGGAACAGGTGATTGGTTTCTCACTTCGCATACCTTGCGTTGGTTGGTTATTAAATAGGGCTCCAATCCTTCCTACAATTTCAGCATCCCTCAGTTGAGGTGCAAAGCTTCACCGTAGCGGTACAAGGTGACTGTGACTTTATTTAGCAGTGAATCGCATCCGCCCCGTTACAGTATTGCTGAAAACAGGCATTCGTGGCTTTTATAGGGAGTACATTTGCCAGGAACACTTCCAGCCTTTTCGCAATAATTCGTACATTATGACCATAGCAGCCTTTATCAAAAGACAGTTGCGAAGAAAGTTCTTTTCGACAATTCTCGTCAGGCAATTACAACTATGAATTAGATAATCGGTGGGATAATATGCTATCGCTAGCGTAGCGTAGCTAGTTATGCCGTGTCCAGTTCGTGATGTGCCGCGGTCAGCGCCAATTTTGAACACAATTATAGATCGATGAGCCAACAGTCAGCTAGCGGATCTATGGCCATGAGAGAATCACACTTTGCACAAGGATTTCTTGTTTGCATACTTTTGGATGCAGCCAGTTGATTGCGATGGTTTCCGCAGTGGTCAATATGCGTTTTCCGAGTCCTTTCGGCGATCTTTTCGGCGCAATGTAGAGTGCTTCAAAGCAGTCATTTGTTTGGATATGATGTCCACTACTGATCAGTCGTTCCAAAATTCAGCTGTGGACCTTCTTAACCGTGCCGTGCCGCAATGATACCGGGCAGTGTTCTGCTGTTCGCCTCGAAAGTCAGTTTACAATTGTGGATCCAAGGAGTAGGCGCCGCAGTTCCTATCTGATGTGTATACAAGCATTACCATAGGTAATTAGCCATGAAGTGCAACGTAGCTAGTCACCATGAACATTTTCGCTAACATTTGGTCTGGGGATGTTTGTGTCGTCCGGACACTTACGGATGTCTGTAACCACCACATGTTCTAGGGTGTCACCACACTACTTTTGACCTTTCTGCTTACATCGTCGACTCATCCTGATGCTGAGTTCTCATTAATTGACTCAGATCTCACGAAGCTAGATGGTTAGTCATTTGAACGATAGAAATATTGCAACTGAATACCACGTTATAACACTCTCTTCCATATCTCTTTGAAAAACCGGGCCTTTTAAAATGTTTCGGAAAACTTGTAGCTCGGGTTGCTAATTCAGTTGCTCATTCGTTCGCCGAGCTTGGAAATTTGTTTGCAAACCTTTCACCGCCATGCGAGGCGGCAGCATCAACACTTTGAGATGTAGAATGTAATCTCCCTGATTGCATTGTCGATCCGTGATCGGCGTGTAGGTGACTTTTCGGAAGGGACGGCTTCGATCTGTCCCGTGATCTCTACCCATTTCCCCGTAGCGGAAGTCGTCGCTCGGGTTGTTTCTATTCACGCGGCATGCATATCGACATTTACGCAGTTTACCAGCCCTTCGACGGAAAAAAGAGCAATTATGAGATGCCGCTTGAATAGGAACAACCCGAGCGATGACTTCCGCCAGGGGAAATGGGTAGAGATCATGGGACAGATCGAAGCCGTCCTTTTCGAAAAGTCACCTACACGCCGATCACTGATCAAAAATTCAATCAACGAGATTTCACTCCACTTCTCAAAGCACTGATGATGCCGCCTCGTTTTCCTCTGTCATCCTTCACAGACTGACTGACACTCGTGAAAACCATATTCGTGAAGAACAAGCCGGGTTTCGTTAAGGTCGTGGCTGCATTGACCACATCTTCACTTTGCGTCCGTTGGAGCACCGTCACATATATTGGTGGCCCACCTTTGTCGTTTTCGTCGCTATCAAAGATGTATTCGATTCGGTGGATAGACGTGCACTTTGGGACTGTCTACTCAGGAAAGGTGTGCCTGAGAAATATGTGAATATTATCCGAGCATTATATGCGCGTAACTCAGGCAGGGTAAAGACTAACGGCAAGTTGTCGTCACCCTTTAATATCTCCAGCGGTGTGAGACAAGTATGCCTGTTGTCACCTTTCCTTTTCAACTTCGCTATTGATGAAGTCATGGAAATCGCGTTTACAGGACACGACTTAGAAGGTGTGGATCTGCTCCCAGGCGAACGACTTCTTGACTTGGAGTATGCTGACGATATTGCCCTAATCTGTGACAGCTCCCAGACGTGTCAAGGGGCACTGGACAGATTAGCACTGGCTGTCAGCCGCTTCGGGCTTTGCTTCGCACCCTCGAAGTGCAAGCGTTCCTTCAAGATTGGCCTGGACCGCCTCCTACGCTGACCGTTGGTGGGGATCAGCTAGACGTCCTTCAAAAATTCAACTACCTGGGAAGTTGTATCAGCGCCCGTGGGATTGAAGATGAGATCACGAACCGTATAGCAAAAGCTCGAGGGGTTTTTGCTAACCTTCGCCACTTCTGGCGGTGGCGCGACATCACTCTTGCCCTGAAGGGTAGAGTGTACAATGCAGCGGTATGTTCGACCGTACTGTACGGTTGTGAAATCTGGCCCCTTGGATCAGCGGACATAAAGAGACTCGTTACGTTCGATCACCGGTGCCTTCGCAATTTAGCTCACATCTGGTGGGAACACCGCGTGAGTAACTAACGTGTTCGACACCTTGTTTACGGCACAGGAAAAGGAAATGAACCGCTCAGCACCGTTATTACACACAGCAGGTTCCGATGGCTCGGCCACGTGTTACGCATGCCAGCCCACCGACTCCTGCGACGTGCGTTTTTTGCGTGCCGGTGATGTGGATGGAAGAAGAGGAGAGGTGAGCCAGCGATGACTTTGTCGAGAGGAATGAAGGCCCTCACTTCGAAGCTGGCTTCTGTTGAAAGGTCACGACTCCCTGGTTGGGGTCCGAAAGACGATGAACACCTTTGGCTGGATGCACTTGCTGATATGGCAGGGAGCCGACCTCAGTGGCGTTCGTGCTGTGAGTTTCTTTGTCCCACCCCATCCCTCTCAGCCTCCCCCTCCAATCACGATCTCACTAATTAGCCTTATATAATTTTGCTTAATTTTTTGCTGCATATTATGCTACTGGTGGCTTACCAGAGCGATGTCCATTCGTTACCGGTAGCTCAGCTGGCTTGTATCTGTTGCATTTTGTTCCGACTTTTTTCTTTTACTTATTGCGGCGCAGTGGCTGAGGTGTTTCCCACCTCTAGCTAACGCGTATAATGTTGTTGATGATGATGGATTGCGGTGAAACGTTTGCAAACAAATTTCTATGGTGGGCGAACGAATGTGCAACTGAAATACCGAGTCTGATACGGATGGTCGGAGGCAGCCTACTCGTGCGGGCGATGTCTACAGTCCGTCTGCTTTTATTCACCGCTACCGGGGTATTAATGGTGCAGTATGGTGACATCATGCGGGTGCTTTGAAGTAGAACTATGAATGTCCTCAGTCGTGCCACACTTTGAAGCTCCACAGCAGTGTTCCGCTATCTGCTTAAATAACATGGTCATTGTAGCTGGGGGTTTTCCCGTGGCAGTCGCTCCACCTATCTCAGTGCCTTCAGAATTAATCAGCGTGTATTTTCAGTGACACTGGTGTGGTCCATTCTAACATTCACGTTGTTTGCATTTGTTCTCTAGGCACAAGGCCGTGTGCCATCACTGCTTTGCATTGTCTTCTTGTTCGTATCGTTCACTCAACGTGTGTTCACTTAACTTATGACGCGACTCAGCAACATAGATTTTGTCACAGTTGACTGACGCTTTAAATGCTCTAATCATGCTTCTAACCGTTGACTAGATCCTTCGTTTTTGATCGACGGGATTGTTGTTTGTGGATCAGACAGGTCTCGGTTGTTAACAGCAGTCGCGCAGCTCACCTTTCGGTAATTATGTACACGCCGAGGTGATTGGTCTGCTTTTGTCTTAATACCTTATTCATTGTCTACGCCAACAATTATTTAGTTGATTGGCTACAGTCCATCCACCGATTTGCGTTAAGTTCAGTTGTTCTGACTCACGTCGCTAAGATGGCAATACTAATAGTAATGACTGATAGTAACGATGGTATTGATAATTTTAGGAGAGTAGACGAGAAATGAAACCACGGACCGGAGTACTTGGGACCTATAAATAATTAAACCCTTACGGTAACTCTACTGATCTCATAACGAAGGTGAACCTGTTAAGGTTCCTCGACCTTCGTTGTTTATCTCCCCCATCTCCGCACACCGAAACCTTCCACTTCGGATATCGTCCCAATGATCGGAACAGTAAAGGATGACTTCAAAGTCAACCGAAACCACACTTGAGATTGCTTGTCGCAATCCAAGACACGGTAGATACTCCAAAACCCCACCTCCAGTACTTAGACTTCGTTTTGACTGATCTAAGGGATCTCACTCAGGAGGACGATGAGCATCAACCCTACCTAGCCTTTGGTTGGGCTTCTTTACACCTTCCACCTCATCATTTGTCCACTTTGGAGTGGACTGTTGGCACATACTACACAATGATACAGCCAGCTTGCCAACGTCCGGAGGATGACACTCAAGTGCTTTGTCTTCAGCGGATATTTCATTGAGATACCAGAGGGTCTGTTGCCAAACTCCAAATTACGAAGTTTAGCATTGGTCATTCGGTGCGTTACTCTGCATGCACCGGTCATCAAACGACCGGCACTAACTTTTTGTTTTGGTAGTTCTCATATTTTTTCATTACGTTGTGAATTCCTCTCTAAACTCTCGGGTACGCATAAATCAGGGTTACATACTACAATGTCTGCACAACGATGTACTTTCCATTTGCAAGCTATCGTTCGGCAAGATAACCGAGTAGCACTTCTTTCTGTTATGCTTAGTGACATCCCTGCAACCTCCTTTTTTGTGGACTCGTTCCCGGTCTTATTTCACGCCAGTAATAAAATCTGGCTCCTGAGAGTATGAGCTTGGTTTCGGTAGCATAGCGGTTAATATTCATTCGTATTTGATGGTACTCGCTCCGCAGGTTCTGTTCATCTGCATGCTTCTGTTGAAGATCCTCACCTAGTCGACTGCCTTGCTTTTGTCGCTGTACATTACCATTGGTCCCAGCTGCGCGCGCATGGATCTAGGTGAGCTATCGAAAACACATCATCGGAACTTATACTCACCGATGCGCTTTGTAACGTGTTTGTTTGATTACGCCGTTTCCATGGTCTTTGTCTGTGTTGACACATAACAGGTTTTGTCACGTTTACATAACCTAATCCTCTTTATCGTCTCAAAGAACTTCCTTTGTTAAGTATGCGGTTCCACACTGTCGCGCGAAGGAACATGAGTTTGTACACTCGTATTTAATCGACGCTTTTTGCATCGATTGTCCGCAATTATTCGTTTTGGTGCGTCATATTACTTGACAAATGTCAGCGGTTTATTTTCTAAGAATTTATTGCTTTGGCTTACTAGTGTTGCATCAGCTTCTCTGTGCTTTTCTTCTCTATATTTCTTTTTCTTGGTAACATGGAATGCGATTTGGGGCCGCCAAACAATGGTTGTTCAACATCCGAAAAGCGAACCGAGCACCTTTTATTCTGTACATACGCATAGTCTTTTCGACTACATGTCCGCTTTCGTATTTATATCTTGCGCCTTTCCGACATCATATTTCAGGGGAAGATACTCTCTTCTGCCCGAACTGAAGTTGATTCTGGTGTTGCTGCTCTCGAATGGTATGCCGAGGAAAGCAAACGGACTTACGGGTACTACGTCCCAACTCTGCTCGAAGTCCACCGAGAGCAGTTGATCTCTCACCAACCGGTCGGCGTTGTCGGCGTAATAACTCCGGTATGTATGATAATTTTGCTACCCTCCGCTTTGCAGTTCATCAGTCGGTTCATGATTTTGATTTTATTCACAGATGGCTTACAGCAATTGTGTCGCTCCCTCCTCAGGTTTACATTCCCCTGTCTGTTCTCATCGATGGTGATTGGCGCAATACGTCAAAATCATCTCGTGTTTTCGCTGCGTGACTACCAATACTTCAGTGGACAATTACTGTACTAATTTACTTTGCTCCATTTCTACATTGTGATGGAATGTGCAGTATGCTCTACCGAGGGTAAACTTGTAATCCTTGTGGTTCTCTAGTCTTTTGAAGCATCAATCTCAAATGTACATCAGTCTCTGAGCTCATGTTGCAATGCTTTACGATCCTTTTGAGGAAGAGACGAAAGGTAGCGGCAACTTGGAACAGTGTGTTTCTAGCTAGATTGCACCGCTTGCCCCTTAAAAGAATGTGATCGCTCACCGACCCTTTACCGTTACTCAAAGCTAAAATGCCAGTAAAAAGATGCCATCCTTTCATTACCCAGTACTGCTACTCGTCATTACTATCGTGAACTTCTAACGAAGTAGCCTGTTAGTGTTTGGATTGGTTGGAACCCGACGGCTTTTCAGCGCCTCTCGAACACTTCCAAAGATTATACTAATTGTGTTTGGATAGAAAATGAGCCAACATAAAGCTGTGTATGCTTTCCGGGTACTTAAAACAACCATATTCCCTGTGTTTACGGCGGTGAATTACCAATGGCTGTGTCCCTTAGCACTTTGCTTAATGGTGGACGTTCGGTGACACCTGACTTTGGCTGTAACCACTCTTGTCTTGTCGACAATTTGACCAGAGGTCTTAGGTTTAAGTGGGATATCTAGCTAGGTGACATCAGTTATCACATTTGTGTTGATCACCTGGCGCCTTCTAAGTTTTCATGTGCCTCGGCTGATCAAGCCTCGACGCAGTTGTTCTATCCTACACTAGTTGACATCTGCCTCCAGCGGTCATGGGTTCGATCCTCAGTAGGGAACCGAGGGAATGCGTTTTCCGTCACATCTGCTAAGCTATCAGTAATGACAAAGCTGACTTCCTGTTGCGGTTGTTGCAATATAGTTGAGCATAGAGCCAATGCTGTTACATGCCTTATTTGTGGTGTGGATTTCCAAATTTCGTGTATTAATTTGTCTTTAGATCATTTTAAACTACTGCGTGAAATCCAGCATGACTTTGTCCAAATATTGTGCAAGAAATGTCAGGCCACTGTACAGTCACAAACAGCCGAGAAGCCGCGCGAGCCTACAACACGGGCGAAACCTTCTATAGGAAGGAGCTCCGTGGGTCCATCCAAGCAAGCGGAAACCCAGCCACCTCTATGTTCGCACGAACGCACCTGCACACCGACTGCAGGCTTTCTAGCGCGATGTCCACCCGTTGCTGGAGACTCAGCTGGCGTGCCTGTCTTGCATCCTACGGACACTAACATACCGGTTTGCGATAGCGCAGGCCTTGAAGGCCAATGGAAGATGCAGCGCAGCAAAAGGGAGAAGACAACTACCAGCAATCAGCGGCGTTTTAACCTTACGATATTTCACGCGCCTGAGTCGACGGATGCTAGTCTTCAGGCTCGTTATGACCACGACGTGGATTTTCTGCAGAGCCTGATTGATTGGCTTCTCGACGTAAATGAACTGGGGTTGCGGGTGAAGCAAATCACGCATCTTGGAAAGAGAGAGGAGGGAATATCCCGGTCTCTGCGAGTCACGTTTGTTAATGCAACGAGTCCGAGGCTGCTACTATCCCGGCTCAGTAGGCTAAGAGGTCTAAAGATCCATATTCCTCTCGATTTGGATCCGTCGAACAGAGAAACTGAAGTGCGCTGTCGTGTAGTTGAAGCGGCGGACTACTAGTGAAGAAACCAATCTCCACATCGTAAATTTTCGAGTATTTCCCCGGGTCCGCCGAACCTGAATCAACAGATTGATGACGCTTTATGCGCGTCTACCGCGGTCTGCACATAGCCTTCACAAATGTTTGCAGTTTAATGAACAAACGTGACGATGTATTTCACTTCGTTGCCTCACGTCGTCCGGCCGTACTAGGACTGGCCGAAAGCTGGTTAAATCCTGAGGTCACTACCCAGGAAGTCCAGATCAGTGGCTGCTCGTGCTTCCGATGCGACAGACTATCAAACGATCGAGGTAGCATGCCGTTATACATTCTGTCCTCGCTGTGCAGAAGACTGGTACTCACCTCCCGTAGCGAAAATGGCTTGTGCGAACAGTTATGGTGCTCGATCCGCCTGAGACAAAGGGAACTGTTTGTGGGTGCTGCTTATCGCAGCCCGCGAAGTCGATGCCTCTATTGACTGCCGCATGCCAGAAACTACACGAGTCGGCCCCGCTTCCTGCTTATGGATGATTTTAACTTACCTTCAATATGGTGACCTGAGGGATTGTGAAGTCGAGGCGCAGTTTGCGGAGATAGTATTTGAAACTGGCGTAGCACAACATGTCTGCCAACCGACGCGCGTTACACCACGTTCCACTCCATCGTGCCTGGAGTTGCGAGCAACCTATACGTGAAATTCAGGTCCTGGAGCCTCTGACACTATCGACCACTCGATGGTATTAGCCAGCCTAGAGCTGCCACTCCCCTACTCGCGGTATTGGAAAACTGACTTCAATTTTCTAAATTGAGTCGCCAGTGAAGTAGATTGGTCGCTGCCGCAGGATTCATCTGTTGAAACCTGTTGGTCTGTTCTAAAAGTGGGTGTGCAATCGTTGTGCGCTCGTTTCGTAACCCTCAAGTATCGGAAAGCTGCACCAGTGAAGCCACGATGGCTCGTCAGAGAGTGTAGTCAATTGGCTCGACGGCGGCGCGAGTTGTTAAATAAATTCATCGTCTCTGGCTCTGCCGATGATTATGGGGCGTGCAAAAGGCAGCGGAATCTATGCAACAACGCAAAAGCGCGAAGGCGTCGGCAGTTCGAAGAGAAGCTTACAGCCTCAGCGAAGACGGCCCCCAAGAAGATTTTTGCTTACGTGAAGCAGCGCCTGAGGCCTGCAAGTGACGAAGCTGTGCTAGAGGGCACTGACGGCTAGCCTCTGATCTCCAGCACTGAACCTGCTTCCGCCTTGGCGGAACACTTCGCTTCCTTATTTACAAGTGGGCATGAGCCTATGCCGAGCTCGACGTGTGCAACCCCTACTGAACTCGAGGGCCTTGATTGCGATCTAGAAGATGTCCGCAGTCTACTCGCCAGTCTTGATAGCACAAAACCTGTCGGACCCGATATACTTCACCCTCTAATTTTGAAGTCCTTATCGGCCATCATTTTACCTGCCGTGCCTGATCTGTTCAACAGATCGCTGTCCGAGGGTGCATTGCCGACCGATTGAAAATGCTCGGCAGTGAAGCCGATTCCAAAAGGTGGTGACCCACGCAATGTGGACAATTACCGGCCGATTTGTCTCACCTCTGTTTTGGCGAAAGTGCTCGAGAAGATTGTGAAAAAGGTTTTTCTCCCTCTGCTGGAGTCTAAAGATCTCACACCGGCACAGCACAGCTTCATGGAGGGCCTTTCGTGCATCACCAACCTGCTGTTGGCGCGGCAAGTATGGTTGCAGGCGTTTAATCGGGAAAAGTCAGTGGATGCTATCTACATTGATTTCAGTAAAGCTTTCGATAAAGGGAACCATGAGGTCCTGCTCCAAAAGCTAAGGATGTGTGGTGTTACTGGCGCACTGCACCAGTGGATCACTGACTTCCTTATTGGGAGAAGATGGCGGGTTCAGGTGGATGCCCACCTAACAGAATGGTACCCGTCCACTGGCGGCGTACCCCAAGGTACAGTACTGGGGCCCATTTTATTCCTGAGCCACATCAACGAGGTACCTCAGCTTCTTCGATCGCGCTGCGTGTTATTTGCGGATGATCTGAAGATTTTGAGGATTGTTGATTCTCCCGGTGACTGTGACGTCCTTCAGCAGGATCTCGACCGTCTATCCCGGTGATCTTCAGAAGTTGACCTACTGGTCAACACGGCCAAATCCTCATTCATGAGCCTGGGGAGGGGTAGTAATGGGCGTGCGTACACCCTGGCCGGCCACCCGCTGCATCCCATCAGTTCCGTAAAGGACTCAAGCTTACTCTCACGCTGTGATCTGAAGTCTGTCGACAACACGAACAGACTGTACGCAAACGGACTACGCCTGCTTTGGGCACTTAGACGCATCTTCTGCATTTGGTCTGAAAAGTGTGCCACCCGTCTGTTCTCTTCCATAATAAGACCGGTGCTTGAGTACTGATCACCCGCCTATTGCCCGATCACAATAGGTGAGGTGCAGAGACTGGAACGGGTCCAGCATGTAGCTATCCGGCTCATCCCCAATTTAAGGGATATGTCGTACGAAGACCAATGTAGGAGACTAGGACTTTGTACCCTGTCATATCGTCAGCTTCGAGTTGGTCTCATTGTGACGCACCGGATACTGCACCTGGGCCACTTCCCGATGTTAAAGCCGCTGCTGCAGATTCGCGCACCAATGCAGCACACGCGGACACCGGTACAAACTAGTGATACCGGATTTAAGGCACACCGCTTCGGGTGTCGAGTGGTGCAAAATTGGAACAAATTACCGGAAGCGCTAGTCAAGGCGAAATCAGTGTCGGAATTTAAGAGATTCCTTGACGCCCAATCTGCTGACTACAAGAATAGGGAGCTTATCGCACACGGATAAGATGTAGTGAAGTTGCAATATGCTGCCACCGCGCAGGAATCAGCGACGTTATTCCGCGCATGTGCCCGATCCATCTACGATGGAGCAACACATTTTTATGTTATCGCTCTCTATTCTCAGTATTCACTTTCCAGGTCTTTCTCTTTCTTTCGATTTGGCCGAGGTGGGTATACATGTTCCAATGAGATCTCTTTAATTTTATCTATCTCCGACGTTCGTTTGATTGGTTTGCAATGTGAGCTGCGACCCAAAAGCTACTTCGGCAGTTTCTTTGC